GGGGGGGTCTCTGACAGACAAGAGGACTGAAGTAACTGTTTGTTGTGTGTTCAGTGTAACATGTGTTTAACAGAAGCTCTTGTTGACATTTTGTTAATAAAAGCTCAGAAGAGAACACAGGTGACTTCTGCTTCCTTTTTCAGCATTTAGAGCTCTGCTTCATTTAGAGCCCTGCTTCTACCACGATCAGTTGGTCAGTTCTGTTTTTAGAAGGTGTCCACAGGTGACCAGGTGCACCTGTGGACACCTGGTGCACCTGTGGACAGCTGGTCACCCGTGGACAGCTGGTCACCCGTGGACACCTGGTCACCTGTGGACACCTGGTCACCTGTGGACACCTGGTGCACCTGTGGACACCTGGTGCACCTGTGGACACCTGGTCACCTGTGGACACCTGGTGCACCTGTGGACACCTGGTGCACCTGTGGACACCTGTGGACAGCTGGTCACCTGTGGACAGCTGGTGCACCTGTGGACACCTGGTGCACCTGTGGACACCTGGTGCACCTGTGGACACCTGGTGCACCTGTGGACAGCTGGTCACCTGTGGACACCTGGTGCACCTGTGGACACCTGGTGCACCTGTGGACACCTGGTGCACCTGTGGACACCTGTGGACAGCTGGTGCACCTGTGGACAGCTGGTGCACCTGTGGACACCTGGTGCACCTGTGGACACCTGGTGCACCTGTGGACACCTGGTGCACCTGTGGACACCTGGTCACCCGTGGACACCTGGTGCACCTGTGGACACCTGGTCACCTGTGGACAGCTGGTCACCCGTGGACAGCTGGTCACCCGTGGACAGCTGGTCACCTGTGGACACCTGGTGCACCTGTGGACACCTGAGTCCCCCTCAGGCACCATGTTGGTGACCTCTGGTTAAGAGGAAAGGAAAAGGTTAAAACCAGCCTGGACCTGAAGACAACCTGCAGTGTTGAAGCTCTGACCTGTAAACACAACAAGTTAACTTTTGATTCAAACGTTTATAATAGATTTATATCTAAAAACTGCTCTGCTTGTTTCAACAACGCAAATAACTTGTTTTTTATTTTATTTTTATTTAGCAGGTTAAAATGCTGACAGAAGATAAAAAAACAGTAAGTCATTTTTAAACAGTTTGTATTTTTAGTTATGTTATTAAAGTTAAAAACTGTTGCAGAGCATGAAAATACAGTCAGAGATAAATTTATCAACTTCTATATAAGAAAAAGAAAAAAAATCCAGATTTAATTAGTTATATCCTTAACGTTGTTGTCTGTTGTTGAACAAAGTCAGCAACAGAAAGGCTGATTGGCTCCTGGTTTGGAGGAAAATGTGATCTGATGACTCAGCGTTTTGTTTATTATCTCTGAACATGTTTGTACAAGCCCTCCCAAACCACCAGTTTGTGTCCCTGTTCTCAGCTCTGTGGCTCTTTTTTTGTTTGTTCTGTGTGTAACAAAGTGTTGCAGTCACATGTGTGTGTTTGTTTGTTCTGTGTGGTACAAAGTGTTGCAGTCACACACTTGTGTGTCTCTTTGAACAGACTGATGGATCGTCACGGCCAAAGATGCTGTCGGACCTGAAACCTGTCCTCCAGTTTTCCTCGTTAACCAGCAGAAGGATCAATCAACCAATCACAGGACACCAAACAACCGTTGGGTCTCTACTGATGTATAGCTGTGATTCTGTGTGTTACTGTTGTGTTGTTGTTGATTTAATCGTTCATAACCAAACGAAGGATCTGAAACCTACTGATTTGTACTGTAGTGTGTGTGTGTGTGTGTGTGTGTGTGTGTGTGTGTGTGTGTGTGTGTG